TTGATTTATTAGTGTGGTAGATTTGGAGAATATATTTTTGCAATACTTGTAGAAAATTGTATCGTATTTGGGAAAAAAGGGGGGTATGGACTGCAGAACAAGTGAGGCTGAATTATGGAGGTGTTTCACGAAAATCTATTTAAATTGAAAAAAGGCAAAGGCACCACCCCCTCAAGTCAAACAGAGTGCAAATGTAGACAGGGATGCAGAAAAACCACAAACCTCAGGGCCATATTCAGCTCTGTCAGACTTATGAAAAAAGACATGAATGCCTGTGCAAACTCATTAAGTTAGCATAGAAAAAGTAGTTTATTACTGCATCCAAGGAGATGGGAAAAGGGGAAATAATTGTGTTTCTTGTGGCTATGCACAGAAAATGTTGTGTGTCTTTTGCAAGGCATCTGTTCCAGCCTCGTCTAAAATCCAGCGAGTTTCTTTCCATGAAACTCACAACTGTTTTTTTCTGCCACGCTCCTGCATGAACAAAGCAATACATCCATTCTATACATGAGTTATTATGTGGAAAGCGTTCTCTTCTGTTCGGAGAAGTGCATGCATATTCAGAGACACCTGCAAAGACGCAACTCTTTCCCCAGCTCACTCTCAGGACTTTTTGACAGCGTACCCTATTAATGCCCATCTGTATATTTTATATGAGCTTCAATGCCCCGGCACATTTACCACCCAGTTACTATTTTTTCTATCATCCTTGTTAACCTGCTCTCTCCTCTCTGATTCATCCCTCTCGCACACCTGCAAATGCAACCCAGAGGAGGCGGGCGTATAGCACATTCTCTGCTCAAGCATGTCTCCTCATTTACTTCTTAATTATTAGTTGAGTTGGGAGTTATGAGTAGGCCTCTTTTAGATTTTGACTTTATTAGTTTAGTTTGCTTATATTAGTTTAGGAGAGCAGTCTGAATCAGACAGTTTCATGGTGTGGGTGGTTTGTTCTCTTCTTTCTCTTTTGCTTTTGCTGGGGCTCCTCTTCCCCTCAGGTCTTCTCCGCATCTCGTATGTTAGGGTCCTTTAAACCATGGATTTAGGGACCATGCCACTATATCAATAACAGAATTTACTAGCCATATTCCTGACAAGTAACTTGTACTTGTATCATGTTAATTATGTGGATCTGAAAATTCTAAATAAACTCTAATGTTGACAAAGAGTTTAGATGTGGTATGTCCACAATTTCATTCACGTGGTAAAGTAGTATGGCTACAATGTCAAAGAAAATGTAATCTGTAAAAGAGCCAAACAGTAGTTCACATTTTTGACAAAGGTCAACAACTTATGCTGTGGGCTGCGGCCTTGTTATCAGCAGAAGGTGAGCTCTATTCAGCAGCAGACTTTAAGCCTGAAAGAAATCACCCACAATCTGCACAAAGCCAAGCAACAGTAGCTTCAAAAGCTTTTATCTGCATATGGATACTCATGCACAGGCAAGATAAACTAATGAGCACTATATAGAGTTAAAGTTACATAAACAAATATGCTTTTCCACGCATGGTGGACAAATGATGTCTGCGTTAATTATATACAGAAGTGGTGCTAAATGTTTGAATAGGCTGAGCATTCAAGCAACCAGCAGTTCCTGATGTTGTTTGCAGCAGTCTTACCAACGGCCACCAAAGTTTTGCTCAGTGCACATCAAATAAACCACAGCGGCAAGCAAATGAGCATTACAGATGCAGTGAAGAACAGATTTGCTTTAGAGATTTGTTTCTGCAAAATGAAAATGTGCTCAATGCAAATCAGCAGCCACACAGAAACTAGTTAAGAATGTATGCATGCAGAGGCATGAAATAAAACAGCACTTCAGGCCTTTATGACATTACTGTTAAAATCAGACTTGGGTTTGTGTGTACATAGTTGTATTGCTACATCGCCTATGTTATTCACAAGATTGCTCAATATATCCTTAGATATGTGTGGGTGACATCCTCCTCACAAGTATATATGTAACCTCTGAGACAGTAGACCATATGCATAGATACTGCCGTGGCTTCCTTTGATTAAGAAACTAAGTAGTTGTAGCTGTATCATCATGACACATGTATGTCAGTTGAGTGGATAATGAGGAAGAAATCCCCTTCATTGATGTACTACTTTGTGTTATTCTCAGCACCACTCCTGTGACCAGTAGCAGCAGGCATATAATCAACTTTGATCTCCACTTCTTTTACTTAATCATTTTCTGTCTCACCCTCTCTCACACACATACAGACCCACACAGAGACATGCACCCTCATTAAAATTAAACCAGATGTGATCCTCTTGCTTTCTATTAGTAGTCTGCAAGTTCAAATTCAAAGTTAGATGTTGAAGTAACAGAAAACTTGTTTACGAGGAAGTGAAATTGCTAACATTTCAAGTTTCTTCTCAGGCTGTTATATTTTGAGCCAGTGGTTTTCCTGGAGCACCACACAAGCTAGCGCTACTCAAGAAAGGCAAGATAAGATCTGAAACACCTCAAGCAGGTGTATCAGTTGCTGGTTCACCTCATTTCCTGGCACATATAAATGTCTTAACACCTCCAAACATGAGTTAGACAGTGGCCCATCTTTGCCTCCATTGCCCATTCAGGCTTGCAAACACTTCCCCTTTGCTATGGATAGCCATTAATTTACTTCCCCTTGGGTCACACAGTCTATAGCTATTGATCAAACAGCCTCCCAGCGCTAATTTAGTGCCTGTGACACATTCTGTCATGAGGGAAGCAGGAAGGC